AAGAAGGCAAGGACAAGGGCCCCCCACGAGCGGCCTGGGCCTGGATCTCGCGGTACCTCATGCGCAGGGCGCGCAGCATGTCCTCTCGAGCCCGCGCTGGGGGGATGGGCGCACGGGGAAGTCGGAGCGTGGGGTGGGATTGGCAGGGGCCCGGGGCGTTCTCCCCCTCCACCTCCCCGCTTCCTCCTTCTCCTCCTCCCCGCTCTCCTCCGCTCTCCCTGCCGCGTGCCCTGTCCTTGCAAATGTGACGCCTCCCCGTCGCACCCCCCAGGCACGTCGGAGAGGGGGTGCCCCGGCGCCTCTCCTGAGCTTGCCTCGCTGCTTGTGGCCCTGAAGCCCGGCAAGTGCAAAGGCTGCACGGACGGAGGGAAGCTCCGCTCCAAAGAGGAGCTCTCGCAGCAGCGCCGTGCAGCGTCGTGCTAGAAGCCAGTAACAGCTCCAACAGGTGCAAGGCGTGCCGTTTTGAAACAACAGGGGATCCCGCGAGGCGCCGGTAGCGTTCGCGCTGCACGGTCGCAGCTGCTGCAAGGCGAGGAGGGCTGTACGCTTTCAAGCTTAGTTTCTCGCCTTGCGCACAGTCGTTTCGAAATCTTGCAGCAGGTATTTGGATGGAGGGCGGTGCGCTTTCAAATTTGGGCGCAAGAGACCTGCAGGCGGAGCGTGAGGCTCTCACTTTTGAGAGTGCCATGAATCCAACAGCCAGAAACGAAACTTGCGCAACAATGGCACGCGAGGGGGACGGCTTCACTTTAACACGGGGATCTCGCTGGACACCTCCTTGGGCTCCACGAGTCCACAAACACAGCGCTTGCACTGAGGGGCTCTCGCCGAAAGAGTTGGACGGGTGTGTCGAGGCTTCGACAGGGTTTGCCTGTCGTAGGCGCTTTGTGTTAGCAAGCAGCTCACGGAAGCTTTTGGTTGTCTCCACGGCGCCCAATAGCGAGATCAATCGTGAGCAAAACAGACACTGCATCTCCCTCGCATGAAGCCGTTGGGCGCTATTGGTCGCTATTGGGTGCTTCTTGAAACTATGCGAGCGCTACTGGGCGCCAGTCCTATCTGGCGCTGTCGAGCGCTGTATGGCGTTCTTCACCGGTATACATGCGACCGAAGACGAGCGGAAGCTTCCGTGACTTGCTCTCTCACTTCGTGTACTGGAGAACCGTGCCGAAATTTCGCCACGTTTGGAGATCTAGTGACCCGGGTCAATCCAAACCCGGGTCGGTCGGGCCTGGAAGGATCCTGGCACGCAAGCCCGGGTCAGTCCACCCCTGGCCCTGCAGGGTTCTGCCAGATCCAGCGCCCTGGCTGACCCCCGCTTGCATGTATCCCCGTCCCGTCGTAATTTTTGTCGCTGCGTCAGACGTCAAGACCCCTTCGCGGGACCGGTTTCTTGTCCCGAATCGTTGTTGGACGGTCCCGAGGCCTGGTGAGGCCCCCCAGAGGACGAAAAAGGGAAAAACCTCCCGCGATGCACTGGCGCGGTCGACGGTGCATCGGCGACGTCGGCGTGGAGAAAATTGGGCCCGACATCGAGCCGCATCGCAGATGCAACGCCGATGCATCGCCGATGTGGCACGATCCTCCGACCCCGTCTACTCCGACCCCCTCTAGGAGGCCTAGAATTACGCAGCTTGCACCATGTTTGGGCGATGGCAGGACTGGATTTAGCGGAACCTGGTCGAATGATCTGTATCGGGGACGCCCTCTCCCCGTCCCATTCCACTACCCAGCATTGCCGTCACCCGAAAAAAAGACCGGCAACGGCAGACCTGGTTTAATGACTCTGGCCAATTTAGGGGTCTCCGGGACCCTACTGCTAACTGGGTCCCCTTCCTTGGGGTCCTGGCTATACCCGACACGTGGCCTGCACCACACAGCTTGCACCACTTGGCGGCGCGAACAAGGGGGGTAGGGGGAGGGGGGAAAGCTTCCTAGAAGGAGGCAGCTTCTTAGAAGCCGCAGGCCTTACATCTATAGACAAGCAGGGGTGCGTCTAAGAAGCCTTCCCCCCTCCCCCAACCCCCCTTCTGCGCGCCGCCAAACCACATAGCGTGCACCGCAAGCATTTCAACGCACGGCTTGCGCCACGTAGCCTGCACCGCATCACTGGCACCACAGAGCTTGCACCACCTTGCTTGCCCCATGCACCTTGCGCCACATAGCTTGCACATCAGTGTTTGCACCACACAACTTACACCGCATGTTCGCCACCGTGCCTCTGGGCACGGAGTAGGGGTGTCCTCAGTTCCTTTGCCTAATCCCTGTAGCCTCAGTCTTCAGTCCTGAGGAGTCTGTAAGGAGCCCAGACCCCAAATTCCTAAATCTCTTGGGGCTTCCCGCGCGCACCCTGGGGTTCCCCGCATCTTGTCGCATTACTTTTTCGGGCCCAAGATGGCCTTCAAATCGGCCAAGACGGTCCAAGGAGGGTCCCAAGAGGCCCCGAAGACAGTTCAAGATGCCCCCGAGGCGCCCAATGATCGTTCCAAGACGTCCAAGACGGGCACAAGAGACCGCCAAGACGCCCCCAAAGGCATCCAAGAAGCCGCCCAAGAAAGCCCCGATAGACCATAAGCATTGACTTCTCTCGGGTTTTACCAGATGTTGGCCTTCTCGCCTTTTCGGCATCTCGACGCTCCAAGACGGCCCAAAAATCCCAAGACCGCCCGAAGACGGCCCAAGACGCCCCCAAGAGGTCCCCCAAACGGCCCAAGAGGGCCCCCAAGGCAGCCCGAGAGGCGCCCATGACGGCACAAGAGGGTCCCCACACGAACCGAAAATCTGGGCCTTCCGCCCCAAGAGGCCCCCAGGAGGCTCCAAGAGGCGACCAGGAGGCCCCAAGAAGCCCCAAGAGGCCCCCATGTGACCCCAAGAGGCCCCCCAGAGGCCCAACAGAAGCTCCAAGAGGACCCAAAACGGCCCCAATAGGCGTCCAAACTGTCTCCAAGGTCTTCAAAAGGCCACCGAGAGGTCTCCGACGAGATCCCAACGAACATCCAATAGGCTTCATACCCACAACCCAGGCACGGTGGCGGGATGACCCGAAAGCCATTATATGCCTTTACGCATCGGAACGCAGAGGCAAGCTCCCAAATGCTGCCTCCACCCTGGCAATCTCACTCCGACTCTTCCAGATATTTGGACGCCCGAATCGGGTACTCAACAAATGAGCACGATGCCCAAGAACAGATGATGTCTCCAACCGACAGCTGCCGCTGTTGGGCAAGAGCCACGAGTCTCAAATGAACTACGTCCGCGGCGACACCGACAGCGAGTCCTGCTCAAAACGAACAGACATGCTGTCGGTCTGTGTACCAATTTTAGGGGAACGAAGAATGACATTAGCACAACAACTCGGAGGTCCGCGCGGGTTTCTCGGATTTGCGCTGAACCCCCCTCCCTGGCGCGGAGCGCGCTAGGGGCGGAGGCGCCGTTAGGGGGGTCCCAGCGCAGATCCGAGAAATCCGCGCGGAGCGCCGAAAGCCTAGGCCTATGGCATCCTTCGCTCCCCTGCTTCTGCCTCGAATGGGCCACGTCCGCGGCGACACCGGCAGCGAGTCCTTCTTCAAAGCGCACAGGACATGCAGCCGGTCTGTGCACCCGTCTGTGCGTACACGTCGTTCAATTCTAATCGCGCTCATTTCTAATTGCGCTCGTTTCTAATTGTTCCTGGCACCCTAGTGGCCAGGAAGAGGCCCAGTATAGGACAGTTAGAAATGCAAGGATCTTGGGCCCCCCAAAAAATCTAAGAACCTTCGAAGAACTAGGAATGAAGAAGGTGTACTCGTCTCGATCGTTCCGAAGAGAGCGTCGGCACGCTGGCGGCATCCCTCGGCCCGAAGGCCAGCGGCCGCCGTGGCGAGCCGGGCCCCCCACGACCTCCAGCGACGGAGCAGCTCCTGGCCCAGCCTACGAGCTTGCCAGCGCTCGGACGTCCATCCCCCCCGTGAGTCTTTTGTTTGGTGTCGTGCGTGCACCTCTTAGCGAGATGCTCAGAGGTGCTCCTCGAGGGTCCTCGCCGAGGGGAACAACAACAGGCACACGCCCGAGCGATGCCGAGGGAACACAAGAGCTGCGGTGGCGTGCGCCTCCCAGACCGCAAGGAGGGCTGACGCCGACCTCGGCGACGCGCTCCTGCACGCTGTACAGTCACAGGCCTGACCTAAGGAACGACAAGTAAGGAACGAAGCTCCTTCTTCCCAAGCCCCTTTTTTTTCCAAGCCCATTTATCCAAGGAGTAACGCGTAAGGAACGATACATAAGACATAATGCATACGGGACGATACATAACGCGTACGAGCTTAATAAAACGACCGAGCCCCTTTTGAAAAGTAAGTGTTCCTTGTTCAAGCCGCTCACTGTCGAGCCGCGAGCAGCGCAGGCACGTGGAGCACGACTTCGCAGCGGCGGCTGCGGACACACTTCGACGGTGGAGATGCACGCGCGCGCGCGGCATATGCACGCCACGCCGCCGCACAGCAGAGCGCGCCGCGGGCTCGTGCCGGCAGCGGCGCGTCAAGGCGGCGCCCAGCGCTGCCAGGCTTCGTGCACGCTGTGCACCGCAGATGCTTCGGGGGGAGGGGGGGGCCGCGAGCGGAGGGGGGGGGGGAGGAGGAGAAGGTTCGACAGGGTGCTCGGCCGAGGTCATGCACCTTGGGATGCTCTGCAGCAGCTGCGCCTCAGCGAGGGCGCTCCGAGGGGTGCCCAGATCCTCCAGAGCTGCGGCCCGAACACCAGACCTCCTCGCGTCGTGGAGGAAGCACTGCGAAAGGGCTTTCGTAGCTGGCCCGGGGGAGTCGTCTCGACCTCCGTGGGACAACGCTGACAAACAAAAAAACAGACGTCAGAGGTCTAGAGCTCGCGCCGCCCAAGGGATCCCGCTGCTCTGGAACTCGCCTCCTGAGCCTCTGCCGTCGGCGCTACTGTTCTTCTCATCAGCGCGGTCTGCCGTCCGTCCTGCTCGGGCCCTCCTCCTCTTCTCCGCCAGGCGGCCGCCTCTTTTTCTGCATGTCTCGACGCCAAGGTCCCACTCGCTCCCTCGTTTTCGCGCCTGGAGTCCGCGCTGCATGCCGCAACACCTCCGTAGATTTGCAAGAGAGAAGCCGCATGCCGCGAGACAGCACACGGGGCGCACCTCGCGCAGCCCATCAATCGGTGCGCGCCGTGTCTGGCAGCACGACCGGACGTGCCGGGAAGGAGAACCAGGAACTTCAAATCGATAAACCGGGTCGGGAGATGCGCCGAACATGGCCAAATCGGCACGGAGTCGGAGCCGCATCGGATCGGCTGATGCCAGATGCGAAACAGCGCCATGCCAACATCAGGCCGCAACGGATCGTCGGAATGTGGGAATCGAATGGGGCTGGGTCGGCAGCAGTCGATGCCGATATCGAATCGGATCGATCCGATCGGAATGGATCCTGGCGGGAGAGGAAAAGGAGTATTAGGCTTAGGTCGGGCCTGTCCCCCTACAGGCGGTTTTTGTGTGAAAAATGCAAATACCCCAAACATGCCCCAAAAATAATCAAACATGGTTTTAACAACAATCGTCCCCATTCTATGCTTGACTATTCTTGAATCTTCCCCCTGTAGAGGAATAGGCCCGACTGAATAAGAGGCCTTGATGCAGAGTCACCAAGACGTCATCGCTCGGCGGCGCGCCCGAGGGCGGCAAATGGGGGCGGGCCTTCCAAGAAGGCTCAGACGGCCTCGGCATTCGAAGAAGGTTTCGAAGCCTCCTCCGAAGACAGAGATTGAGCAGGGACCGACCGTCCCGGCATTCCTATAGGCCTACCACGAAATGTGTTTAGAACCCCAACATGTTCTAAAAACGAAAACAAATTCAAGGTTCTCATAACATAAAATCGATGTGTCAAAACAAGACAGCCCCAGCCAGGAACGTTCTAATAACATGTTGTGGAAACCACAAATGGTTCTTAGAACATTCTGTTGGTAGGCCTATAGGCACGCCAGGACGCTTCACCACTGCTTGAAGAGACGACTTCCCAGAAGGCTGGGGGGCTTCAGAGGAGGCCCGCCGCCTTCGGAGAAGCCATGCACTGTCTCGCTTCCCCCCTGGGCGCGCCGCCGACTCTCACAGGAGTGTCGCCAAACTCTTTGGCACCAACCGGCGTAACGCCCCCAGCCGGCAAAAGCGGAGAGCGCCGTTCGCGGCGGCACGGTGCTTCTGGCTTCTATTGTTGCCCCCGGCGGTGTGTCGCGGGGGGGAGGAGGAGCAGGAAGAGGAGGAGGAGGAGGAAGAGGAGAAGGAGGAGAAGGAGGATGGCGAGGGCGAGGACGAGGAGGAGGACGAGGAGGAGGAGGAAGAGGAAGAGGAGAAAGAGGAAAAGGAGGACGAGGAGGAGGAAGGGGAGGAGGAGGAGGAGGAGGAGGAGGAAGAGGAGACGGAGGACGAGGAGGAGGAGGACGAGGAGGAGGACGAGGAGGAGGAGGAGGAGGAGGAGGAAGAGGAGAAGGAGGAGGAGGAAGCCGCGGCCGCAGCGCGAGACGCTGATGGGCTTGAGGCCGCGGCCTGCGGCGCAGCGTCACGGTGATGCCGTCGGCCGCCTCCGCCCGCTAAGACTTGGCTGTATTATTCTGCGTCCTGATCATTTTTATAAGGTGGAGGGCTCAGGGTGAAATCCATTTGGCATTGCAAAAAGGGCCTTGCATTCGAGGATCGAAGGAGTTGTCATCTCTTCTGCGGCGGAAGGCGGCGGAAGGCCGGCGGAAGGTCGGCGGAAATAAAACGAGGCCGCCCCGCTGGCGGAAGCCGGCGGAAACTCTGCGGAAGGCGGCGAAAGTAAAAAATGCGCGCCCGAGAAATGACAACGTTTTTCGGTTCAGGGTTTTCGAAATCGCCCCACATGGACTTTCGCACCTCGGAAATCAATCCGTCTTTTGATTCACTTTATTCAGATTCAATCCTCGAACATCAATCGAAACGGCATTTCAGATTTCACCCTTTGCCCTCCACACAAAACAAATGCTCGGTGCGTCCGGGTGGCCTTCACAGGGGCCCCCCGGAATGTCAACAAAACTGCTCCAGAGGAGGCGCTGGTCCTCGGGGAGGGGTCCAGACCTCTTGGGGAGCTACGCTGCGAGAAAAGAGCGACGTCGTCGGACTATTGGAAGGGTGTCCCCAGGACCTCCTGGGAGGCCCCGAGGCTCTCCAGAGCCCCCTTCGCGACGCCCACAGGGCCTCAGTGGCTCCAAAACGGCGCGACGAGCTGGAGACGCCTCGCGCCACCGAGGCTGCTGGCTGCTCCCCATCTGCGTCGGCGAGCAGTGGCGACCCCTACGCGGGCCCTGGAGCAAAAATGTCGCTCTTCGACTCGTTGGTAACGCTGAAGTTGCAGTCGTGCCCGACCGAGGTGGCGTACGCTGCGAGGAAGTTGAGCTGCGCGAAGATGTTCGTCACGTCCGATGCGCACTCCGCACCCACGTTGCCAAGGGGCGGGTCGCAGTCCGAGGCCGCCGCGGCGAAGCTGGTTGCGGTCCAGGACGCGCAGCCGATGATCGACAACATGTCCACGGCGCACGCGCGTGGGTTGGGGCAGTCCTCCGTCGCACGGGCAATGGTGGTGCCCATCTGCATCAGGAGGGCGCCGGCCATGATGACGTCGAAGACGCACGAGCCGATCGACCAGCCCGTCTCGATCCGCCGACACCTCGCAGTGGACTGGGCGTGCGAAGATATTGCGCTGCCCCAGGCCAGACGGCCCCTGGCAATAACCGCATATGCAAAAGCAAAAACGGGAAACTCATCAACAATGCCGCCGACCGTCCAAAGCCACACAATTGCGCAATTCTCTCAGGCGCTTTTGTACACAAGAGGGTTCCGAAAGCGTTCAAGGGGTCCTCGATGGGGGAAGCGAAGGAATAGAGATAGACCTAAGGACATAGTGCTGGGGATACAGGGGTAAGGATATAAGGATAGATGTAGGGATCGGGATAGGGGATACATGTCAGGATTAGGGGGAGCAGGGGATAGGGATAGAGGGCTACGGGATGAAGAGATAGGGATGTTGGGATAGGCATCGGGATGCAGGCGTCGGCAATCAATAGCGAACACGCCTGCAAGATTCATTTGCCATTGCTCCCCACTCACACAAGAGGATCAACATTGGCTGTGGCTCTGATGAGCTACACTTCGACCGCACTTTTCCCCGCGCGTGCCGACGGAGCATTTTTGGGGAGGGGCGGGTCCACGAATCGTTTGCCTTTGCAAACGGGCCCCTGCTCTCGGCAGACGGACGTAGTGCGACAGAGGGACCCCTGTTCTCGGCAGAGCCCCCTTTATGCAGAGGGGCCCCAGAATATTGGGCGTAGTGCGACGGAGGGATGGTCTGGGTCATTCTCTGCTTCATCCCGCTGCAACCTCTGTGGCCACGGGGAAGGGGCGGCGGCGGACTTGCAGGAACCGCCCGCCCCAAGTAAGATCATCGGGGGAACACTACAGCCGAACATCTGATCAACAGAACGAGTTATCCTCTGAGAAAAGTCTGGACCAGCTTCCAAAAAGTATATTGAAACAGGCCTGGGCCAATTCCTGTTGTGGACGCTGGAGGGGCGAACGTGCTCAAGAAAGTGGGCCAGCTTTCCGACAACTTGGTGAAGGACCGCTGGCCCAGCTGTTCGGGAGGACGTTTCTTAATCAGATGCTTCGCGACTTAGATCCCCTGATGCTGAACCCACCAGCAAAAAGCAAAGCAACAACACGAACACACAAAAACGAAGTGCACAACAAAAAGCAATGTCCAAGTAAGTGTGCGTTTGGGAAAACACTTTTTTGTTGAACGATGTGTCGTCGCAGACCCCGTCGTGTATTCATGGGGGACACGTGAACCAATATGTTTTCAACGCTGTCATTTCGTGTTTTTTTTTGTTGTGCCGCGTGATCTGGATTTGTAATGTGCTTTGGCACCGCATTTGTGTTCATGCATCAAATGGCAAAGGACCTTGTTTTGTTGTCAGGGAACCACAGCTGTGAGACTTCCAACTGCAATGAAGGGTTCTCTGTTTTCCCCCGGTGGACTGGGTTCTTTCCCGGACAACTGGGTTCTTTCCCGGCGCAGCTTCAGGAAAAAGTCAAGTTCGTGTAGCGTTTCAGCGGGTGTCTCGTGCGCTGGTTTTCCAAAAGACCGATGCCACGGGAATGGTTCGCACTTCAGCTTCGCTAGGGACACACGCCAACGACTGAGACCAGTTCGCGCTTCAGTTCCGCTAAGGGAAGAGTCCAGTTGTCAAGAAGTACTACGGCGACGAGGGATCATGGTGAACATGCGTGTACATATGCACATATATATACAATGAATGCATACATGGTGGCGTGTGTGTGTGTGTGTTTGTGTATATGTTGGTGTGTGTTTGTGTGTGCGCGTGCGCGTGTGTACGTGTGTGGTGCGGGCCGTGGTAGTGATGGAGGTGGTGGTGGTGGGTGGTGCTGGCCCTCGTACTACCACAAATCATATGATTAGCACTGTTTGCGATCGTACTAATCGCCGTCGTACCTCTGTGAACGGCATCCTTGGCAACACACATATATATATATATATATACAGACCATCGTGGACACAATCACAGTAGTTGCAGACATGGTGGTCGTCGTCGTCGTGGTAGCCGTCGCAAGAGTAGTAGTAGTAGGAGCAGTAGTAATAGAAGTAGTTATAGTAGCAGTAATTATTGTAATCGTAGTAGTAGTAGTAGTAGTAGTAGTAGTAGTAGTAGTAGTAGCAGTAGTCGTAGTAGGCAGTAGTAGTAGCAACAGTAGTAGTAGTAGTAGTAGTAGTAGTACAATTCGCATTAGTTCTGGTAGTCGCAGTCGTAGTAGTAGTAGTAGTAGTAGTAGTCGAAGTAGTGGTAGTCGTAGTAGTGGTAGTAGTACCACTGGTAGTAGTAGTAGTAGTAGTAGGAGTAGTAGTAGTAGCACTAGAAATAATAATAATGGTTATAATAATAATAATAATCGTATTAGTCGTAGTAGTGATAGCAGGGGTAGTAGTGGTAGTAGTGGGAGTAGTAGTAGTAGTAGTAGTAGTAGTAGAAGTAGTAGTAGTAGTCGTAGTAGTAGTAGTAGTAGTATTAGTAGTAGTAGTAGTAGTAGTAGTAGTAGTGCTAGTAGTAGTAGTAGTAGTAGTAGTAGTAGTAGTGGTAGTGGTAGTAGTAGTAGTAGTAGTAGTAGTAGTAGTAGTAGTAGCACTAGTAGTAGTAGTCGTCGTCGTCGCCGTCGTCGTACGAGGAGTAGTAGTTGTCGATGTAATAGTAAAAATAATAGAAGTCGTACTTATTCTAGTAGTACTAGTAGCTATGATACTTGTAGTCGTCGTCGTAGTAGTAGTAGTAGTACTAGTGGTGAAGGTCGTACATATTATTAGAAATAGAAATAATACTCGTACTACTACTATTACTACTACTACGACTACTACTACTACTACGACTACTACTACTACTACTACTACTACTACTACTACTACTACTACTACTACTACTACTACTACTACTACTACTACTACTACTACTACTACTACTACTACTACTACTACTACTACTACTACTACTACTACTACTACTACTACTACTACTACTACTACTACTACTACACTACTACTACTACTACTACTGCTCTGCTACTGCTACTGCTACTACTACTACTACGACTACTACTACTACTATTACTACGACTACGACTACGACTACGACTACGAACTACGACTACGACTACTACTACTACTACTACTACTGCTACTACTACTACTACTACTACAACTACTACTACTCACTACTACTACTACTACTAGTACTACTACTACTACTAGTACTACTACTACTACTACTACTACTACTACTACTATACTACTACTACGACTACCACTACTACGACTACGACTACGACTACTACTACTACTACTACTACTACTACTACTACTACGACTACTACTACTACTACTACTACTACTACCACCACTGCTACTACTACAACCCCTACTCCTACTACAACACAAACTAGTAAGACATTTCCACTTCGTTCCTGTGATATAATACGGGGCGTTATTCGGATTTGCGTGGAAGAGGCCCAGAGGCATTTCTCCTCTGGGACTTTATGAAATGTAGATTTTACCCACAAATGATGATATCGTATTACGTGTGCACCAGGGAGAAGCCCGGTCTTCCGCCCAACCAGGCTGAAGGCGCGGTGCTAGGACATGCGGGGGGAAAGGGGCCCCGCTCGAAGACGCCCTAGTCGTCGGCGCTCAAGATGAATATCCTTCGCAACGGGCAAGCGGTATCTTACATTGCACTTCTTCAAGGGCGAGACCAGCGCGACCCCTTGATAGCAGCGCCCTCGGCCGCCACCGCGTGCTCGCACGTGCCCCGCAGACCCTGGGCATAGTTGCCCGCCATGTTTTGCGACTTCGCAAACTGAGTCTCCCACCTCGTGCGCGCCCGGTTGGCCATCTTGCTCAGGGCGTGGCAACTCCGACGCGCTGTAAGTCGCCGCGACGAAGCAGCGATGGCAACGATGACGACGGCGTATCTGTCGGGCGCGAAACTGCGTCCCGTTCGGACGTCGAATCTGGGCCCCTCATGACATCAACTTAAGCTGACGTGTCAGCGGGCCGTGGTTCCTAACGGAATTTCACGTTGCACTTCTTCGAGGGTGACAC